TGCATTGGACATAAGAGAATGGATTTATCACGTGCTTATCCTCTCTAAACGTTCTCAACAGCCCCTTGGACAGTTGCCTCACAACATGCACTTGCTCTGATCTTATATACAAATACATCTGACATAGTAATTCATTTGTAGATTACATGCACATTTCTTAAGTTTTCTTTATATTTTTGTATTGTCCCAGCATGAGATGTACATGTTTAAATCAAGGCACATTGCTTTTCTCCATTAATTTTTTGCATAATGCCTAATTTAAAATAATAATCACTCACTTAATAATTGCTATTGAAAGCAATACACCAAAGTCTTAGTTGAGTGAATGTTTTAGGTTTTGAGTTTAACCTAAGGAAAATAGTACAGGTAAATGATATTTTCCACCAGCACTATAGAGACCATTCTTGGAAACATGTACTTTATATAGTTTTCTAACATGTCCATATATAAATAGACAGGAAAATGAATTTTCAACCTGTTGAGACTCTCCATGTTTTCCCATTCTAACTTTTTACACCAAGTGATGCAAAATCAGAAACAAGAACTGAGTCTCTGATCTCCGGGACCTCTCCCCCACCAACTTCGCCAACGTGAAACCCCAGGTTTCCCCACCTAGTGGCATCACAGTTATTCTCTCTGTTAGCATCCTGCTCACTTTCCCCATGATACAGCTACACCAACAAGCATTTTTCAGCAAAGCTTTGCTTTATCCAGACACTTCTAGGCCATACCCAAACCCCAAAGCATAGTGCACACCTGTGGCCCTCACTGCAGGGACCCCAGCAGGCCTGGTCACCTTTAAGCTCCCCACTGGGGTTCAGCAGGCCTCCTTCCTTCACTAACAGAGGTCTTTCGGCTTGCCCACTGCTCCCTGACATGTTATTATCATTGGCGAATCACTTCCCGGTTCCATTTTATTACGCTGGCAAGTGCAATTTACGGATGTTTCAATCATGAAGGAAACGGGAGAAAAAACTAACAGGTGAATTTTCAACTGTCATTGCCCAAACTCCCCTGAGGCATATGATGTTCAGATCAACTTCAAAGGATGTGAAGAAATTAGTTCAGCCATAACTATCAACTTAATGCTAATATAGAAGAACAAACACGGATTATGTAATTATTCAAAACGTCATTTCAAAGATGAAATCTTTTTGCCTTATCTTCAGTTAAAATGTTCTTATTGGGTTTTGGCTTTTCTCAAAATGATGCTGTAAATCTAATCCATCTAACTGATACTCAGTGAGCATCTTTGAGGAGACTGAGTATCAGTAAACAATAAGCCTAGTATGTTTCATAAGCTCACAGATGTTGAGCCTTGTTACAACTAAACATATCAAAATGTTGCTTTGGAACTTACTGTTGCAAAGGAAGCACAAAAATGTTAACTTCTATTACAAATTAATAATGGCAAATGGATACAAAATGCAGATTATGCCCATAGGCATTGCAATTTCTCAATAGGAAAACTGAAGAATTTATTAATCATTCAAAAGTGTTTATTGAGTGCATACTTAATGCCAGGCATTGAGAACCTGAGAAAACAGATGCAAATTTCCATGTCTTCACAGAGTTTTCAGTCTAGTGAAGGAGACATCCTGAACGTAAAGCTTGCAAGGAATCAGACATGCTGTAAAAAAAAAAATAAGAAAGAAAAGGTAAAAAAAGGGAATCAATGAGCACACAGGAGAGTGGGCACATACATATGTTACTTTGGAAGGACAGGTGCAGCCTCCCTGAGAAATTGACATTATAGTTGTATCCTGAGGATGAGGAGGGCTGGCCAGGTGAAAGGGGTAAAAAAAGCATCCTGATAAGAGAGGGCAGCTGGTCAAGGATGCTGAGGTAGGAAGGAGAAGAGGGCGTTGGAGGAACTGAAAGGAAGTCAGTATGGGCAGAACAGAGCAATAGAGAGGGAAGTGGCAGAATATGAGACTGGAGAGGGAGGCAGGAGCCAGATGACCAAGGCCTGGAAAGCCGGGATAAAGTATTGGGAAACCTCTGGGTAGTTTCCCAAGGAGGAGTAATGCCTAGCTCTCTGTGCTGCTGAGTGGAGAGTTGATCGAAGGGGGCACCCTGGGAAGCAAAGGAGTAGTTAAAGGACTGCTGTGATGGTCCAGCCAAGATCACGTCAATGACATGCAGAGAGGTGGGCGGTTCAGGAGACATTTTGGAATTACTATCGACAGCACTCTGTTGAGAATTGGATGGAGGCAGCGGGGTGGGGAAGAGAATCTGTTTCTGGCTTGAACACTTGAGTTGACCGAGAGACCACATTCTGTGGTGGGAGCAGCTGGAAGAACGGGGCTGGGGAAGGTCAAGAGTTCCATCTTGGACATGTAGAGCCGAAGGTACCTGGGAAGCAGCCAGCTGGGAATAAGACAGAGGCAGGTGGAAAAATGGTGCTGGAGCTTAAGGAACAGGTTTGAACTAGAGCATTTGTAAACTGCTAGCAATGTAATTACATAGTTTGTTTAGTTAATTTCAGACCAGACGTAGTTACCAACTAAATGTATTTATTCATATTCAGAGCACATCATTTGTAGCAGATGGATGGTGTTCAGGATAAGCAAACATGAAAGGCCTGCCAGTTATATAAAATTTATTTTTAAAAATGTATCACCCAGCCCTAGCCGGTTTGACTCAGTGGATAGAGTGTAGGCCTGTGGACTGAAGGGTCCCGGGTTTGATTCCGGTCAAGGGCACATGCCAGGGTTGTGGGCTTGATCCCCAATAGGGGGCGTGCAGGTGATTCTCTCTCATCATTGATGTTTCTATCTCTCTCTCCCTTTCCCTTCCTCTCTGAAGTCAATAAAAGTATTTAAATATACACTGAGTGGCCAGATTATTATGACTGGCCAGATTATTATGACCACCTCATTAGTACTTCATTGACACTTCCAAAAATACTGAATATTGAAAACTTCCTAAGCAAATACTCTCCAGGTTTTATTATTATTATTATTTGCATAACTAATTCACTTCATTGTATTGATGGGGTGGTCATAATAATCTGGGCACTATATATATATATATATATATATATATATATATATAATCACCCAGACAAGAAAAAGCTGAAGGAGTTCATCACCACCAAACCAGTATTACATGAAATGTAAAAGGGTCTTATGAATAATAAATACATATCAACAATTGACTGTAATAATCAAAATAAACAACCTAATGAACAAAATAAACTGGTGAGTAATATAGAACCAGAGGCATAGAAACATGGAACAGACTGACAAATCTCAGAGGGAAGGTGGTGAGGGGGTGGAGAGAGATTATATGCAAAGAACTTACATACATACATGCATTACCCATGGACACGAACAGTAGGGTGCTGAAGGCATGGAGGAGGGTGGGATTCTGGTGGAGGGAGCAATGGGAGAGGGGTAAGGGGAGACATCTGTAATAATCTTAACAATAAAGATTTTAAAAAACATATCACCCAATATATAATTTTATAGTTAAATTTTACATAATAAAAAATTAAAATCAGATTCCACCACACATTTGTTTTACACACGTACTTTTGGGGGCTATAACAAGTAGCTGAAGGGAAGGAGTACACAAACACTCAAGGCAAGTTTACAGCAAAAGAGAAGCCTAGCAGCACCGCCTCAATAAGGATTTAATTTAAGAAGCAGTTGGGAAAGATATTGTATTCATGTACTTAACAATTTTCTATTGAGTGCCAAGGATTGTTTTAAATTCCAAAGCAATAATCAAAGACTGCAGAGTGTTTTGTCTGACCTGTACAGGGTTTAAAATTCATTGCCAACATTTAAAATTTGGAATATTTTACATTAAAAATAATGAATTTTCATCTTACCTAGAAAAGTCAGAAGAGCTAGCAACCTGGGGCCTGCATTCCCGCCTGACAGCATCTTGCTGACTCTGAGTCACCTTGGCCTCGTCAGAGTCGTACTCCCTCCAGGGACAGTTGCAGACCCTAGGACTTCCCAGTGTCTCCCTCTTATTTCACGTGCTTCCAACTCGCTTCATTCTTTTACATGCCTGCATGCCCCTGGAGAGTTTTCAACCCCTGCTGGAGATACAAAAGCAAAGGCTGCATTGCTGTGGCCACGCAATACCAAAAGCAAGCGAAAGCAGGGAGTGGCCTGACTAGATCTGCACTTTACAAAAATGACCCTGTGGGCCCTAACCAGTTTGGCTCAGTGGATAGAGCATTGGCCTGTAGACTGAAGGGTTCCGGGTTCGATTCCGGCCAAGGGCACATGCCTGGGTTGTGGGCTTGATTCCCCAGTGGGGGACATGCAGGAGGCAGCCAGTCAATGATTCTCTCCCTCTCCCTTCCTCTCTTTCCCCCTCCCTTCCTCATGTGACCCTGTGACAGTGTGGAGCATGGTCTGGAGAGGAGCTGGCCATGTGGCCTGCTGAAGGCAAGAGCAGTAGTAGGGATGGGAGTGGGGCGGGGGCGGACACCTGAGGCAGTGAGGAGAGAGACCTACACAGGGTCCAGGATTGCATGTGTTCTCTATAATAATTACTTACATCCAAATGTCTGTTCAAACAATAATTTGAAGTCTTCGCCCTGGTTCTGAATTTATAAGATGACACATACAATTATGCTTTCTAGATAATAAACCAAATTTCAAGACACAACACCTTGACTTTATTATAATAATAATTAGCCAATTTGAGCTGATATGCATAAAGAGAACTGCAACTAATATTCTCTGAGGGGTAAATATTTTATTCCTGGCAATTGGTTCTATTTTATTTATTTCTGTATGTATTTATTTATGTGGTTTTATATTATTTAAATTGCATTTCACTTTTAGGTAACTATATATAAGCTCTTCTAGAACAATGTATAGTTTTTCTTTATGGTGTTTATTTTGAAATTATATGTGTGTGTTGTTGAACCACATAATTTAGTAAAGATTATTAAAGTTCTGAAAATAGTAAATAAAAATGTTGGAACCATAAATATAATTACATGAATGTTACCTCATTATATTCCCTATTAGTACCTCCATGAAAATGGGATTGTCCATCGTGATCTCAAGCCAGAGAATCTCCTCTATGCAACTCCAGCCCCAGACGCACCACTCAAAATTGGTGAGGACATAGCCTGACCTCTGCTGACCCCTTTTCCAGAACAGAAGAAATGTATTCTGTGGAATTTTTAAATATGGCTCCACTCAATGTCACCTCCACTTAATTTTCTCGGATATTTGTTGTCTGTAAAAGAATAAGGCACAGTGTTGGAAGCCAGTGCACTTTCCTGGAATGTTAACCTGAATTAGTGCCTAAAGTTAGTGTTGCAATGCTGGGCACACAAAGGAATCACAACTCTTAGAAATAACAGGAACTTCAGGAGGTGAAATTGTATTTTGTAAATATGTTTATATAGGAAAAAAAAGTCACAAATAACATAATACTTCTTTCTTGGTTATTAACTTTCATTCCACAAATTAGATGGAGCTTAATTTTAAATAATCAAGAACTCTGACACCAAATGTTTGGTACCTATCAGTGAATTTAGGCTCTGAATCACTTGTTTATATGAACAGAGATAAACTGAGCTCTGCTTCCCAAAGTGCACCTCACAGAATGCTGTTTCCTTGGCCCAGGTACAAGGCCCATCAGTCCCTTTGGAGGAGGGGAAGTGGTTTGTGGAGGTCCTGAGTTAGAATAAGTTAGAAAATGCCAACTTCTACAAGATTTTTATTTCTTCAGGACTTATCCCCAAACCTTTAAAATGCTAACGTGTACACTGACAGCTAGTCTGACTCCGGAAACCTTGTTTGTTTGTTTTTTCAATAAGCTTTTTGAGGAACTACAAAGATGAACTTTGGGATCTACCCAAAGAGATCTTTCAATCAGCATTTTAGAAAAAAACCATATTAAATATTACTTTCCATGTGCCTTTCAAAGTAAATCTTCATTTGCAAAAAAGTAGAATTTATTTTAGATGAGTTCTCCCTAGCAGAATCTGTTTTGTCCTGCCTGTGTAGGGTTTCACATTTTTTAAATTAAATCCTCTGAAGGACATTTCTCTCTTGGTGCTATCCTTTATCATGCTAATCTGATGAGTTCACTGCATTTGCAAGTGTTAACACCTTTGAAGATTAAGTCATACATATCATGGAAGCGCTCGGACCACAGAATGTGCTTTATGAATGCAAGACCCTAAAGAAAAGAGGCTGACGTCCTGCGGGGCAACAGCCTGTTCTCATAATCACTCCTGACGGCAGCGGACGGACGGCAGGCAGGCTCCCATTTCCTTTGACATCACTTTCAAAGATTTTATCCTTAGAGAAATGTCTTTAAATGGATGGACAGATTCTAATTTAGGCAGGAGCGCCTTTCTTTCTGAAGGACTTCCTGCTGCTTCCTCTGATAAGGATCTGGCTTCTCCGTGGAAAAGTGGGTTTATCTCTGAAGTCTAAAATGGCATCCATTCTGCACCTGCCTCTCCTGAAGAATGGCCTCAAAGTGCTCCTGGTGTTTCCTGAGTGAGGCAGATGTAGCCCAGCAAGTAGACCATAATGATAGCAGCCTTTGATAATGTTTTATCTAGGTAATAGTCTGTGGAATAAATAAAAAGGATTTTTGCAAAAAAAAAAAAAGTCATCTTTCTCATCCGAGAGTAAATTCTTCTCTGTCAAATACACTAGGGAATGACATTGTTTTGAAGTAGAATAAACCTTTTGATGTTTCTGTTCATTTTTTCAATATTTATGAATGTCTCATTTTTTATTTTAATTCATTCCAGTGGATTAAAAGCTCTGAATTACATCACTAATTCTATATGGTCCTTCAGAGTTAGTCTCATAAATCGTAGAATTAATATTTAACAAAATAACAAAATATGTCTCTTGCAACTATTACTTCAAGAAGAAATAGCTTATATGCTGAAAGCTGGGAATTATAGAAAAAAAAGTATAAAATGTATTTAGGAATCATATTTTCCTCCAATTTAAAGCAAGATTTAGAATATTATTGCTACTCTTTTTAACTTTTCTCTCCCTGGTGACTGGTCTCCATCTACATCCACTCATCAAATACAAAAACAAATGTTTTATTTTGAATAACAAAGGTATTCTGTCATCTTATATAAGCTGAGAAAAAAAACTTGCTTTTTTTTTTTCTTTTGTTGTTAGCTGATTTTGGACTCTCCAAAATTGTGGACCATCAAGTGCTCATGAAGACGGTGTGTGGAACCCCAGGGTATTGCGGTATGCTCTTTAATACTGACATTTTATAGTTTCACTGTTATTTGAAATATATTTTATTTAATGTTCTGATTTTTTAAACTCCTAATATCTCTATTTAAAATGCTTACAATTTAATGCGAGTCTCCACAAGGAAGGCATATGTCAATGATACTCAGACCACCTCTTCCTTATAAGGGGCTCTATAATGTCAGTTTTAGGGCACCCCTGTTAGAACAGCAGGAATGGAGGGGGCCCCCGTGGGGAGGACTGGGGGGCTCTGCATCTGCCTTTTGGGCCGTAGCTACTCCTGGACCCACTCAGTAGCAGAAAGACCAACACTGGTGAAGAAGACAGGAAAACAGCTTTTTTTTGTTTTTGGAATTAAAGCCATGAGCTCTTTGTCACTTCCCTTATTTGCTTTTATTTGGGAGGGTGTGTGAGGATGGGTGTGTCATTAATTCAGATGGTATATAGGACAGCAGAGAGAATGGGGCAGTCCCTAGTTCTCATTGATGGCACTGGCCTAGCCTCGTTAACAGAAGGGCTTCAGGTGGTCTTTCCCCGCCAGAGCTCCCCAGTCTCTGGAGATGGACAGTGCAACAGCCCTCACATCCTCTTGCACAATCTCCCAGGATGGCCTGAAGGCACCCCCCACACACTGCACAATCCAGACAGAACAATAGCTGTTAACCTATGCCAGCAAGAAACTCACCCTTTTTTCTCTCAATGGCTATTCATCTGCCAACAGCCTAAAGCTTGGGAAGACCAGTATGCAATTACATTAATTATCTCTCAGTGTCCCTTCTGTGACTAAGAGAGAACAGCAACCTTCCAAGGGCTTTAATAATAGTGATAAGAGCAGTTCATTTTTGCAGCATACCAGAATGGTCATTCTGTGAATGAATGATTCATTCATTGATAAAATGAACATTAGCTATCTAATGGGCTCCATTTTAGGCACTGAGATTACAAGAGCAAGTACAGTATGGTCTTGCCCTCCAAGGATTTCATGGGCTATAAAAGAAAGACCTGTACACAATAAATCAAAGTCTATTATGATCCATTTTATATTTATCTGAGCCAAAGGCTCAAGAGTACAGAAAGGAACATTTGAGCTGAACGCTGACGGATGTGTAGGAGTTTAACAAGTGAAGAGGTGGCCACCAAGCATTCTTCGCCAGCAGGGAAAGTCACAGAGGAGCACTAGCACCTGGCAAGTTCGGGGACTGTTTGTTACTTCATCGCTTTGCATGACTGGAACATAGACTCCTTGGAACAGAGGATACAGATGGACTTGGAAAGGTCAGATGGACCATATTTTCAAAGAATTTGTACATCAATCTAAACAATTCAGACTTGCTTTGGTAGATAATAGTAATTTATCAAAGGTTCTTAATCAGAACCATCATATTTTAAACTCAAATCAGTATTTTATAAATATCCTGACAATGACATTATGACAGATGGATTTGAGGAGAAAAGAGGTCAGAAGAAGACAAACGAGAAAGCTATTGTAAATGCTCCTTCTTGGCCTTCTCATGTCAGAAATCTAAACACAGTTTATTGTCACTTCATAAACAGCTGCTCAGCAGATAATGTGTCTGGCCTACTCCTAAGTTCAGTCATTTATTTTTTAGATATAAAATGATTGTAAAACTACTATATCAGATGCTTGTCCTTGCCGTAAACAAGCCTGTCTTACAGGTAATGCCGCCTTATGATGAAGGCCTATTTTCCATTTACTATTTTTTCCTCTGTAGACATCCAGATCACCCTAAGGCTGTGTTATTGGGAAAGAGGGAATTGAGTGGTTGAATGTGATCGCGATAATCCTTCCACTCTGCTATATAGGTAGACGCTCACAAGGAAGCAGTCATTTGCTAAATTATAAGAAAAGGAGGAGAAAGAAGCAAGAAAACTGAGGTGGGGGGAGAGAGAGAATTGAGATGAAAATTAAAATGCTTTTGTGGACTCATGTACTAAACATACGCATGGAATTACTTTTCTAGGCTGAGGCAGGCTTGGAAGTCAAAAACAAGTAAGTTCCATGTATTTAATTACAATAGCACGGTCTAAATTATGTATAAATAAACAGTTATTTATACATTCTCTTGACCTAAGGAAGCTCACGAAAATATTACTTCAGTATGTTATAAAATATTGCTTCAAAGTGGGAGTAGTTGAGAGGGCAGGATTTTAAAAATACACCTGTGCATAGTAACACAGAAAAACTGGAAAAGCTGAGTTAGGAGAAAACAGAAGTCACAGTAACATCAGGGGAAAGGAAGTAGATGGCCTGGAGCCGAGGAAAGATGCAGAGTTCTGAATTTTTAAAAATTTAATATAATAATTACTGTTTATCTGTCTTACAAACAATTACACCATTTATGGACCAGGCTAAAGTTCCCTGTGAGGTTCACCCTCAGTTCTAGCCCCTTCTCTCCTTACCACATATAAGCACTGACATCAGTTTTGTGTGTGTCCTTCTGAGATACTTAGGTGGAAAGGAAACTGTCCATTTATAAAATGAGTTGAAAATGAGACCCAAGTACAAGACTAGTGTGCTCCTTTATACGGGGACTTTACATTTAACTCAAAGTGTCTGGGGGCCATATAATTGATGGAGAGGGAAGATGTGAGCTTGTTTCCTTGCATTCTAGATCAATTATTTCTATGTATACTGGAAAGTGGGTGTTTATGTTATACCATTTGTCATTTGTCAAGAAATACAAAAAGGAAAAGCCATTCAGAAATCCTTTACCCCAGAGGGTTCTCTTATAAGTAAATCTCAAAATAAAGTCAGATACTTGTGTTTAAGCAAATATTATTTCCTGGGAAATATGCCCAGTTGAAACAAAACTCCAGACCAGAAAATTAAAATTTGTGACCCAGCTAGATGAAATCAATGACTAGTTCTCTGAATTAATCCATGAATACTTCAACATTAAATAAATTCTTGACATCTTGTTCTTGGGAAAAGAAATAGGTTTCAAAAAAAAATCCATTGGTCCATGACTCCTGATAAATGTGCTACAATGTCACTATGCAATATTACTACCAAAATGTCTTAACTGCTTTAGCTATTTAAGACTTAACTAGCTAAAAACCTACCCATAGCAATCACAGAAAAGAAGGATAGTTGACCCTTGAATAACTCAAGGGTTAGGGGTGCCAACCCCTTGCAGTCAAAAATCCATGTATGTCTTTAGACTCCCCCAACACTTAACTATCAATAATCTACTGTTGATGTGAGACCTTACTGATCACATGAACAGTCGATTAGCACATACCAGTATGTTATATATTTATTATGTACTGTATTCTTACAGTAAAGTAAGCTAGAGAAAATAAATGTTATTAAGAAAACCACAAGGAAAAGGAAATACATTTACAGCACTGTATGTATTGATTGAAAAAGATCTGTGTGTAAGTAGACTTGTGCAGTTTATGCTCATGCTGTTCAAGGGCCAACTCTATAAGCTGGTAGAGTAGGAAAGAAACTAATATGGTGATGGGTGAGATAAAAATATCCCTAATACCAATTATCTAATTCATTTGTAAGTTTAATTAAACTGTGTATTTTATATTTCATATTTCTACTTGTCTATTTATTCAAATTCTATTTCCAGGGTCCATAGCTGTTAAGAATTTATTATCTCTTGGCATTTCCCAGGGTCTCGTTAGAAATAAGCTATTATGTTCACTATACCAAAATTAAAAACAATTTTTCAACAATCTACAGTCAGAGAGGTTTCTGCCACAAGAACACACACTAATAAGAAAAATGTAGGAAAATATAAATGAAAAGTAAACGTAAAATACAAGCTTTCAAAATACTTTCATAAAAGACGTGGTTTTGTTCTTTTCTAGACGACTAAATAGCTAAAGTGAAATAAGAAGAGTACTTTAGAGGTAATCGAAACATGTAAGAAATGATCTCATCTGAGAATTAATTAAATACCCCCAGTGATGACTTTCTTCTTACTATGAACTTTTCAAAAACTAGAAGAATTAAATACACAGTAAAATGTCAACTGCACTTTCTGTAACATTCTGCTTGATAGATGGTGTGTGTACCCGAGGGTTCCCGTGGGGCTTGTCGACAATAGGAAGGGAGCAGGGAAGGTGAGAGGAAGAAAGAGAATGTTAAGCAGGTGGGTAGAGGGTGCCCAGATCCAGCTTCTGTTCCTGACCACAGCCCTTCTTTGTCCCTGAGATAGACTGTGTCCCCAAGCATCATATGACTGTCCCAGAGGCATGCTTGCGATGCCTGGTCCAAATGAACAAGTGCCAGGTGAAGAAAAGTGGTGAGGAAAGGCCGTAGCTCCTTTGTTCTTGACCTTGCAGAGGACAGGACTCTGCAGGTTGAATGTGGGCTTATTTTAAGCTGTCTTGGGAGTTTTACATCTACAGGAAATGAATCTCTTGAGGTCTCTGCATTGGTCTGGCACTGACCTAAACAATGTGTATCCTGTGGAACTTCAATTTTGTAGACGTTTGCTCCTTTTTTGCTTAATAAATATTTACTGAACTCCTATTACACACCAGGCAGTGTCCAGGTGTTAGAGGTATAAAAGTGAAAAACAAAACACTCTTCTCTTTAAGGATGGTACATTTTAGTGGAAGAAGACAAGTAATAAACAAAATGAGTGTGTACGTTAGATGAAAAGAAATGACAATTTCCATGGAAGGATATGGAATTAGGAAAGAGAATAGGAAGTGCTAGGGGCCTGGGCCGCAATTTAAACGGGGTGATCAGGGAAGGCTTCACTTAGAGGGAACATAAGAGCAAAGACTTGAATGAGGTGAGGGAGAGAGCAAACCATGTGATGTCTAGGGAATAATATCCCAGGTAGAGGGGACAGAGGCACCAGTTCTGAGGCAGGAACACGCCTGGGTGTCTTTAAGGTCCAGGAAGGAGGCTGGTTGGTTGTAGTGCAGTGACAAGGCGGGAAATGGTAGGAGAAAGGGATCCGAAAGCTCCAACTGGAAGGATAGAGTTAACATTTATTTACATGAGG